GGTCCTCTTCTTGGTCCTATGTCACTTGCAAGCCAGATAAAATGAAAGCCACCTTTGAAGCACCCAGATCTAAGCAATTTTTTGTGCATCCTGGATTATTAAGTCTGTCTGTACTTTATCTCTTAAGGAAATCAAGCTCTGTGCTTGCAAAGAAAATGCAGGGTTATTTGTTGCCAATTACGTAAAGCTGAGAATTGATCTTACACATAGCTATAACCATATCCTGTAAGCAGATGCTCCTAAATTTACAAGGCTGCCACTTCTTGAGGCTTTACTCTAGGAAATATATGTCTACTACAGAAGAGTTTGTTGTACAAGTTTATCCAGAGATAATAGTTTTACAGGGTATAAAACTCCATAGTGTCGATTTGTTTGAAATAAGTGTCTGTTCCTAATTTTCAAACAACGTTCTCAAGCCCTGTCTTAGTTTACTCATGACCAAAGGAAAAAAAAAAAGAACCCCAAAGTAGGGTCATTGGTTTTTTCCCATTAAAACACACACACACACACACACACACACACACACACCATATTGAACTGAACTGACCTCATCTATAATAATAAAAGCAAAATATGCTAATTAGACCAGACAGCCGAACAACCTTCTGGATGTCCTTCTGGATGAAGCCGCCGTGGCAGGGGCTGAGGCAGAGGCGGTTAGGGACAATCAGGTAGGCAGGCGAGCAGGTAGGGGCTATGAGGCAGACATGCAGGCAAGTGGTTACAGGCATGGGGCAGGTAGGCAGAGTGGTTAGGGGTGATCAGTCAGGTAGGCAGGCAAGCAGTTAGGAGCCAGCGGTCCCAGATTGTGAGAGGGTGCAGGCCGGGCTGAGGCACCACCCCCCCCTGCATGAATTTCATGCACGGGGCCTCTAGTCCTATATAATAAAAGCCTAATATGCTAAGTGTCCAGTTGTCCATTCAACCAATCAAAGCATAATATGCTAATGATATGCTAAGGCTGCTCAACCACTCGCTATGACATGCACTGACCTCCAGGGGGAGACCAGTCGACCAATTGCTACGACGTGCATTGACCACCAGGGAGCAGACAGTTGACCGGTCGACCAGTTGCTATGACATGCCCTGACCATCAGGGGGGCAGATGCTCCGACCGATAGGTTAGCTTGCTGCTGGGGTCCGGCTGATCGGGACTGAGCAAGAAGGGCTGGACATGCCCTGGAGCCCTCCCGCGGTCACTCCTCGGCCCCAATTGTGCATAGGTGGGGTCCCTCAGCCTGGCCTGTGCCCTCTCACAATTTGGGCTGCGGGAACCCCCACCCCGAGTGCATGAATTTTGTGCACCGGGCCTCTAGTTTATACTATAAAATCTCTACTGGTTCTCTTTAGAATAGTAGCATAAAAGCAAGTTAAGTAATACTTAAACATATAGTGTAGCCCTCCTAGAAGAAAATCAGGTGCTCTGAGTATAAAGTAAAATTTAAAAATGTCTGGAAATTAAACAATAAAAATGTTAATCATAGGCATATTATTCTATTTTTTTATCCAGAACTAGTTATTACACTCCATTAGTTAAGAAAAAACAGTATCAATAGTACATAGTAATGATCAAAAGGAGCCTCTTAAGACCTTATTTACTTAACTTCAAAGATAATGTAGTGGATTGAAAAGTGCTAAATCACAGGTCAGAAGAACTGGAGTTTATTCCCATTATTTGTAGGTCTCTGTCTCTCAGTGTGTAATATGGGTGAACCATCCTGCCTAGCATACAGTGTTGTTCTAAACAGAAGACGAGTATGAACTTACACCTTATGCAGTTCAGTTTAGGTCATGTTCCCACTTCACTGAATGTCACGGGAGGTGTGAAGATTTGACAATTCTGTTTTACTGAATAAAACACAGATGAGGTTTGGAATAACTCAGAATCATTTGAAGAAGCTTAGCTAAGAATTACAGAATATGCTTTCCATTAACTACACAGCCTAGGAACTCTAGTTTGGCATGAGAGGTCTTAAGAAATGGGGTGGATTCTCCTGTGAGCTAGTGAAGATTGCTTTCTATAGCCTCAGATCATGTTCCTAAATCTAGTTCACAGAACCACCTCCTTAGAGATGCAGACAGTGGAGCAGAGACAGATCAAAGTCCTGTCCTGCAGATGGGTGCCAGTGATGGCATCGTCTTATGCAAAGGATACACTTATTAGGCCCAGTTGCAAAGTTGTAATTACTAACTCTGGAATAGAAAATAACTAACTTGGCCCAGCTGGTGTGGCACAGTGGTTGCGCATTGACCCCTGAACCAAGAGGTCACGGTTCGATTCCCCGTGGAGGCACATGCAGGAGGCAGCCAATCTATGATTCTCTCTCTCATCATTGATGTTTATGTCTCTCTCTCTCTCTCTCTCTCTCTCTCTCTCTCTCTCTCTCTCTCTGAAATCAATTTTAAAAAAACTTTTTTTTTAAAGAAAATAACCAGCTCCATAGTGGATTATCCTTTTACTAGTATATTCTAACTCTTAGAAAATCATGACCTAAGGGTAAAACATGAACCATCTGAAATCAATTTAAAAAAAACTTTTTTTTAAAGAAAATAACCAGCTCCATAGTGGATTGTCCTTTTACTAGTATATTCTAAGTCTTAGAAAATCATGACCTAAGGGTAAAACATGAACCATAACAGTATCAACTCTGTGCTTAGATAAATTCATAGTTGGTTAATATATATGTATATATATATTTCTACTTGCTATAGGTCTAGGATTTTTGAGATTAAATTAAAGAAACATTTTACAAAGTATGTTTTTTAGAGCACTAGTTCTAAAAATTATTAGGTGCTTCAAAAAAGTTTTAGAAATGCTGGTTTAATCAACTTTAGGCTTCTGTAAAATAATTATTTCTCAAAAGTGTTTTATTACATGTCAGTATCAAAGAAAAGAATATAGTGCACAGCATTACTAAAGTGCATTGGAACACAGAGCTTTTTTTCTTGCTTGAGCCTAGCATTCTATAAAAAATACATTGTAGGGAAAACTGAATCAAAGGATATTTAAAACCTATATAACACAGTCAAACCACCTGTCTGAAATAGTCAGGGGACTATAATTATTCCCCGATGTACTCTCTAAAGCGGTTTTGTTGCTAATGAAAACACCTGCCACAGGTTTCTAGATGTGAAGTATTTGCTGAAATGTGACTCCAGAGTTCTATACTTATTTTAAAAATGGACAGCAATCAAATACCTGAATACTTATTATCTGCTTAAGGATACAAGGACAATGAGTTGGAGAAAGTATTCCTTAAAACGTTATATAAACCTTATAGGGTTGGTGACATTAATATAAAAAGCTCAGAATGATCAATGGCTAAGAGGCATGCAAGATTTGTAATTGGAAGTGGAAGGTTTTCTACTTGTATCCTTTTATTCAGCCTTGAACAATAACTTATCAAGAATCAGGCATTCGGTGCGTTAGAAGATGCAGAGACAAGTGACATTTGGCCCATCCCTTCCAGGAGATAATAGTCTGGACAATTTTAATAGAAGAGTGATGAATGCTATCACAGAGGACAGGGCACAGAAAGCTCGGATAATATTGAACTAAAAAGCTAAATGAGTAATATCACCAGGCCTTTCAAACAATCGCTCTTAGTCCAAGTGACAAGGCTGTTTAATACGTACATATGTGAATTGCACTTAGCTGTTATTAGTAGCAACAAGAATACAGACAACAGTCAGTTGGTTTGATTTGGAGTTGTTTCATTAAAGCTGTCTCTATTTTTTAACCAACAGATACAGTAGGACAGTGCTTATTTTACAACGAAGATGCATTTACTCCAGAATTGCTTTGCTGCTATAATTCTCCATAAATATTAAACAACAACCAATGAGCTGGTCTCCATTCATATATTCCCTTGATTCAGAATCACTTTGCCTCTTGGGTACTGAAAGCATACTAATTTAGGTTTTGCATATTTATGCATGGCCTTAATTTTTGAACTCAACAAATTTAGAAGAATAAATATTCACAGGCTTGTGATTTTTCATAAACATAATTTCTCTAACCTGCATGAATTGAGAAATCTTATCTTCATTAGAGGATTCTGGTTCTAAAGTTTTGTGATGTCCATCAAGTTTAGGAACTCAGAAATAAAGTTTATTCTATAGAAAATTCCATTGTCGAAGAGTAGAACTTTGAATTTGCAAGGGAGATGTGTATTAGAAATAGGAATACGGGTCGTACTTTCTGTTAGATGACACTGTAATTTTTCTGGGGGTCCCTATCTTCATTGCAAAAATACATGTTATCCCCAATACATATGTTACTGAATACTACAACTTAGTGAAAAAAAATTATATCAATGTTTCATTGTTTATTTGGACGAAGAAAAGTTGGAGAATTCAAGGAGTTGAAAAGGGAATCCTGAAAGTGAAAGTGACAAGAGAATGGGATGGGGAGGGAACAAAGGAGGCTGTAACATTATCTGCAATATATATATGTAGATATATGTAGATACATAGATATAGATATAAAATAGTTATGTGAAAATAACAAAATGATGACAATTGCCAATTCTCAATGTTGCTACATAAGTATTTCTTGCATTATTCCTCTATTATTTTTATTTAGACAATAAATTATTATTAATCTGATTCATTCATTCAACAAATAATTTGTTGAGAGCCTACTATGTAATAGATGCCAGCAGGAAAATGGAGAAAATAAAGAACATCATCCCTGCCCTCATGGAGTTTATGTTTTAGATATGAAAGTGAAATAATTTGAGATCTGGTATAGACTATTTACAAAGACAGAGGGAATGGGGGTGGTTAATTTCGACTGATACTGTGGAGGTGGGCTACCATTAATACTGAATCAGTAAGGAGAGAGAATTCTGTGCTGATAGGAACTGCCTTAGTTTTGGTCAAAATAGAGTTTAACTCTAATCATACACTGGCCATGGGCCACATATCTCATGTGATGTCTACTTTCCTCTTTGGTTGCAATCCCAAGTTCACCTGCATTTTTCTTTGATTCCCTCTAGTATATGACTGCTGCTGCTCCTATGCAAGGGACCTACATTCCCCAGTACACGCCTGTGCCTCCGACAGCTGTTTCTATTGAAGTAAGTCTGTCTCTGTCTTATAGAAAGAGGGTCACAGAGATACATCTCAGCCACATATGCCATGGCCCCCATAGCCCAAGGAATCCTGATGTGAGATTTTTGTGCTTCTCTGAAATTTGAAATTGCAAGCTCAGTATATGAAAATATGTGCCCATACCTGGCTAGGCCTAGGTTTTCCTTTGTACATAAAATAAGTTAATTTGCTATCAAAGTATGAGGGAAGTGTCATTTTCATATTTAGAGAAAAGATCAGAGACTAAATCTCTATCCCATCAAATGTTAACGACAATACCCATAAATAGGGAGGGGGAATATTGCAACTCTAGTGCCTTGTTACTCAGAGAGGTCCCTGGACCAGCATTACAGACATCACTGGGGACCTTGTTTAAAACTGCAAACTCTCACGCACCACCTGGACCTCCTGAATCAGAATTGGCACTTAAAAAATTGAGGTAACATTGGTTTATAACATTATGTAAGTTTCAGGGGTGCAACATTATAATTCAGCATCTGTATATACTACATGGTGCTCACCACCAAAAGTCTGGTTTCCATCTGACACCAAATATTTGACCCATTTGCCCTTCCTACATCCCCCACCCACTTCCCGCAGGTAACCATCAATCTGTTGTCTGTATCTATGAGTTTATTTATTTTTGTTTTATATGCCACATATGAGTGAAATCATATGGTTTATGTCCTTTTTTGTCTGACTTTTTTCACTTTGTGTAGTACCCTCATGATCCATCCATGTTGTTGCAGGTGGCAATATTTCATTTTTAACGGCTGAGTAATATTCCATTGTATACATAAGTACACCACATCTTCTTTAATCCACTTATACATTTTGTGTGTGACAAATGTTTGCTGCTACTCAGAAGTTTAAGAGGACACTTCATGTAATTTAGGAACTCACAGAGACCCAGACTTGTAAGGCCCCAAAGAATGTGTATAGTAAACAGGTTTTAATAGCATTTTCAAAATTTTAAGACTGTGTGATTAAAACACATTTTCCTTGCTATAGTTAGCTGTCAAAAAGCATCTAGGACATGAGAAAATTATGAACCTGAACATTTAAACATAAATCTCTGCTACATATTTGCATTTCTCAATCTCAACACCAAAGATATATGGTTATCTACAGAATTTGAGCATTTTGATGACTACAAAATAATGAAACACATTCAATAGTGTGGCTTATTGAAAACAATGTAATTATAGTTAAATCTAGGACTTAAAAAGAAGTCTTTCATTAATAAAAATAGAAGTACACTCTGATATATTGCTTTTAGTTTATGTTTATAAGGAAAACCATTAATTCATTTTCTATGTAAAAACACTCACTGAAAATTCACCAATATCCATACAACTAAATACTGGTGGAAGGTTCAGGAAAACACACACAATACCAAATAGTATTAGGAAGAAAAGGATTAAATTAATAAAGGGAGAATTTTCAGATTCTGAGGACCTCAAGGATCTTTTGTGGCAAAGAGTTGTGGCAGAACATTTGAAACTCGATATTGCTGCAGGTGTTCAAGGTTATAAGTGAAACTATGAGAATATATTCAGACAGATGCCTTTTAGGCCTAATAATTACTTAATAAAACTATGCCTCTCTGGGAACCAATATGTGTCCCTAAAGAGACCGACTTCAGAAATTCATTCTTGTGGGCATCTGTGGGGATAAAGAGGATGAAAAGGTGAGGAAAAGAGCAAATCAAAATTTTGATGTTTGTTTGACTCTATATCTGAAACCTTTAAGTGAATTCCAGTTCTTATTGTGGAAAACAAAAACAAATCAAATTTCTGAAGGGAAACCTCCTTAACCGTATTCTTTTAAAAGAATTCCAAACTTTAATGTAGATGCTTATGCAGGTGAGAGTCCATTGCTTTGCCAGATCATATAGACATGGCACAGTGCACTATCCCAATAAAATGCTTGAGTAGACAATTTTTTGTAGAAATACTTCATGAATTTTTTAATAAATTACCATTCAGTGTGGCTGCATACAAGTCTGGTTGAAGAGTTGTAAGTATGAGCAAAATGATTTCTGACCATTTGACTGCTCCAAGGACGTGATGGCAAGGCTCCTTGCGAGCTCATTGAGGTGAATTTCTCAGCTCTTAGCCACATATGCTCCGTGGTTTTCCTTTGAGTACTTATTGTGGCTTCATAACTGAGTGCAGTTTTCCTCAAGCCAAAGAGAAGAGGGGTATTCTCTGAAGTCCATCTGGAAGAGGGCCCTTTGCTGAAGCCAATAAGACTTTGTGTTCTTATTTGCCTCCTTAGGGTGTTGTTGCTGATACCTCTCCCCAGACAGTGGCACCTTCATCCCAGGACACCAGTGGTCAGCAGCAACAGATAGCAGTGGACACATCCAACGAACATGCATCTGCATATTCCTACCAACAGTCTAAGTAAGTTCGAGCTGTACTAAGCTCTTTCCCTCAAGATCAACTATCTGGGCTTTACTCTCTCACGTTGCACCTGTTAGCTTTTGCTGCAATACAGACCATCTCAAACTTAGTGACAAGCATTTATTTAGTTCATCATTATGTGGTTTGAGTCTCAGGTGGATAGTTGACTGAACTTGCACAAGCATCTGGGAACAGCTGCTGGTCATTTTTGCAGCTCTTCTTCTGCGTGTTGGTTGAGTGATGGAAGCCTCAGAATTTGTAGAACAAGAGAGGAAGCCCAAATGAGCAACATTTTAAATAAATATACTTTTGCTGATTTCAGAGAGGAAGGAAGAGGGAGAGAGAGAAATATCCATGAATGAGAGAATCATTGCTTGGCTGCCTCCTACACGCCCCCTACTGGGGGATGAATGAGAGAATCATTGCTTGGCTGCCTCCTACATGCCCCCTACTGGGGATTGAGCCCTCAATGCAGGCATATGCCCTGAGTGGGAATGGAACAGTGACCTCTGGTTCACAAGTCGATGCTCAACCACTGAGCCAAATAAGTCAGGCATGACCAGCATTTTTCAATTCTGATTGTGACTTATTTGCTGCTGCCCCTTTGGCCAAAGCATAACCAAGCCCTGGGTTCACTACCAAAAGGCTTGAATTCAGAAAGGAACATCAAAGCCATTTTTTTTTAAAAAAAAAATCTGTCATACATAGTTTGGAAAAACTCTAATATTGAGTTTTTCCAAACTATACATGAAACTAAGTAGTGAGCCTGCAGTTTGGTCTCCATTTTCCAATTTATCCAACCAACAATTATTGTTTACTATATGACAGGGAGTATTGTAGATGCTAGTGAAAAACCAATGAACGAAGCAGATGCTCCCCAACTCTTGGAGTTTATTTTCTACTGGGAGTAGACCAGAATCAATGGGTCAATCAGCAAACAATAAAAAAGAAACAGAATTTCAAAGCAGACTGCTTAAAAAGATTCTTGTGGTAGAAAGTGACTGTGTAGATACCTAAGGTTTGTATCAGGGACGGTCTCTCATATAGACCTAGTCTGTAAGATAATTAGAGGCCAATCTTGGAGAGCTTTGGAGAAAAAGCATTCTAAACAGAACCAACAGAAATTCAAAGATCCGGAGTGGGGACCTGATTGATGCTGAAGTGTTGGAGATAGGGCCACGGGGGGGAATTGTAGGTGATACAGTTGAATTTTTATATATAGCCTTTGTGTCGAGCAATTATCCTTGGTTTCATGCTGAGTGAGTTAGAAAACCTTTGGAGAGATGTAAGAGAAGAAATGACAGAATTTTGTTTATATTTCAGTGCCTCTGTTACCAATGCACCCTGAGTAGAGAGGGATATGCATTTTAGGATGGATTTCAGGAAGCAGCGTTCCCCCTCTTGCAATTGTCCAGAACCCCCTCTCCATTCCCCGTCTGATGAAATCAGCTTCAGCTGCCCCTGCTTGTCATCCCACCGTGAGATGCTCTTTCTCAGGGTCCTCCCACCTTTTCATTGTCTGATGTGATGCTCTGAGAGGCGAGTGCTCTGCCTCTCATTGATTCTGGTGAGAGTCGCCCCATCCACCTCCACACCCTGTTTCACTGGTAGCATCGTATGCCCGGTACTATGCTCAGAGACAGGACCTGTGCCCTCAAGGATTTACAGTCTAATATGGGATTTAGATCTACACATAGACAAGAAAAATAGACTGCAAGGAAGAAAATGAACAGGGCTCTTTTTTTGAGAGTGCAATAGGAAGTCATAGAAGAATGCACTTAATTTTTCTTGGTTGTGGTGAATGAAACTGTGTCTTCAAGGAAGGCTCAAGGTACGGAGTGGGAAAACTCAGAGCATTTCTTTGAGAAACAGATGCAGAGTAGTAGAATAGTGTAAAAAGGCAGATGGGACCCAGATTCTCATATCAGGTGCAATACTGAGATGCTCAAACAGAATTTTCTTTGCGTGTCCTTCCAGGTGAAGTAGACAATGGATTTGGAGGCAGTGGAAACAGACAGTCCTATTACTGCAATGGTTCAGACAAAAGGGAACAGAGTTCTGAAGTAGGATGGTGGCAAGTGTGATAATGGTGGAGAGTTGGGAGGTAGAATGAAGTAAGAAAAAAAGGGAACGGGACTTTAAAAGCTCAAGCAATACTGTGGAGTTATTGATGCCACTAAGAGAGGCAGATGAGAAAAAATGGGGGGAGGGATGTTTGTGGAGAAAGATGAGGAATTGAATTATAATGAGTCCATTCACAGAAGCTTATTCCTTGAAATTTTTGAGGAAGTCTAAATCTGACCTCATAAAACTAGTGGCACCATGATTATGTGCCTTGAGCCATGAATTCTTACAGAGCTCTCCACAGATAATAAATGTCAAGACTAGAAGTCTCCATCCCTTGTCCTCAAGGAGGTAAGAAGAATGTTCCACAGGGAGTGCTCATTGCTGCAACATGACAGAGATGAAAGCACCTGGAACATTTCAAATGCGTGACATGGGAAAACCACTTGCATTGCCTTGCGGACATTTCTTTAAGCCTGGAGAAAAAATTTCCACAGGTCCTGTTTATATTCTCAGTTTGCTACTGTGAGGGTCGCCAAAGGAGGAATGCATGAGACCAAAAAGAGTAAATAATTATGAATTTATTAAGTCATCTGGAAAACCAGATGGGCTGAGTCTCAAAATGGTGCCAGCACCCAGGGATGGGAAGTCGGATTTTAAAGGACTCTAGGCGGAGAAGTATCCGGACTGGAGGGGAAGGATGATGGTCTTAGCAAGTGGGATGTGGTCTGAAAGGGACTGTTCCTTGTGAAGTGGCCTAAAGGTCTCCCAGGGCAGGGAGCATTGATTCAATGATATAATCAGACCTAACACAGTCTAGCCTTTTTGTTTTATGGAATAGGGATGAAGGCCATGTCTTCCATAGTTACTTACTGCTGAGGGGGACGCGAGATCATAGAGGGATGGACTTTGGAGTCGCTGGGACACTGCACAGATTTCTCAAGGTTGGAGGGAGGGGTTGCACCAGCATGACTGCCCCAAGAGACTGGTTGGTGAAGGCTTGACAGCGGTCCTGTTGAGTGACTTGGGAGGTAAAAGCCGGTCCTGAGGCCGCCACCGTGTCACTTGCCCGGTTTTGCTGCTTTTCTGGGCCTGGAGCTGAAATACAAGGGAGACCGAGATGTTATCTTTAGGGAGGAAAAGAGCAGGGGGCTAACCTGCCTGACTAGTGATAGGAAAGGGGAGGCTAGGTTACCCGCGGGTCCAGGTTCTTGTTTTCCCCCTTGCTAGGCACCCAGAGCTTTCTGCCCGGGTGAGTTTCTGTACCTGGCGGTCAGAGGGACCTGGGCACAAAAGGAGGTTGTGATGGTGTCTAGGGGTGGTTATTTCCTGAGTACAAGCAGGGCTTGTAACCTGGTGGATAAATTTTAGTATTATTGAGGCAAAAGTTAGAACAATAAGAATTATGACAAATGGTCTGATGGAAGAAAAAAGACATTGTTTTGGAGGGTTGTAGTCTAATATACCAAAATGAGGTTTATTCTCTTAGCTTCGTTTGTCCTTGGGTGTGGTCGGCAAATGGCACTAACTAGACTTCTGCTGTCTCCCTGAATAGGGTGGTTTAAGCTATTTACCCTCTGGTTGGGCAGGAAAAATGCAAACCACTTACTCTTAAGTGTCCTCTGTTTAGGGAAGATAGGATTTACTAGATGGCTGCAAACTGCTGTTTAACTATCTCAGTTTCCCTATTCTGCTTGTCCTGGATTACTGGCCTGTGCATATAATTTCCATTTAACATTTCTCCTTAGAAACCTTTTTACAACTTCACCTCACTTTCTTTTTCCCTCAAAATGCCGAAACCATACAATTTCTTGCCAATTTAATTAGAATTCTTAACTCTTAGAAATCTTAATTTTCCAATGATAATCAAAAAGTAACCAACCAGCATTTCTTAGATTGACATTAATGAACACTCTCACTTTCAAGAAACATACCTTCAACAAAGCATATGACATTACATTAACAGTTCAAAATCTACTTCATAGATTTTCTTTAAAAAAAAAAAAAAAGCTAAAATCATGTGAACTTAAACATCTAAGTTGATCATTTAACCCAGAAATGCTCCAAAGCTTTTAAATTACCAATTAGGCACATGAGGCTGGAGAAGAGGGGGAGATGGGGAGCAGGCCCACAGCCTCTTCTAGGACTACAGTTTCCAGGCCTCCAGCTGCTTGCATTTTAAACTGACACATTTTTCCTTAGAGATAACATGCTAAGGTTTGGGGATAATGACTTCTGCTTCTGATAGTAGCGGGACGTTAAATAAACATTTGCAGTTTTGCTGTAAAGTTGTTCTTTGGGAAAGGGGTGTGTGTCTAGTAAAATGCAGTGACAATGTGAGGTGGCTAATGGCTGTGAGACTAATCCATCAATCCCAGTAATAGAGACTGAGGAGGGCAGAATAAGTGGCCCCCGTGTCATTTAAAAAGGAGATCAGCTTACCTGCCACCACAGTTGTTGCTTGAGGCTCTGTTTTGGTGACATAAGTCTGTGGGGCCTTGTCAGGGCCTGGGCAGCTTCTTCAGTGGCCAGTCCCAGAGGCCTGGGCACTCCAAACTGGATCCAGAGGGTGGCCTTGCTGGACTGGCTGAGGTCCGACTTGGAGGGGCTAGACTCCAGTCTGATTTCAAGTGGCCTTCCCTTTCACACCTTGAGCGGGGGCCTCATGTTTGGGCAGGACTGGGCCCAGTGTTCTTCCTCGTTGCCTTTGAAGCATGGGCCCAGAGGAGGCTTTGCCCCTAACTTACGTTGGCTGGAGGACAGGCATTTCATTTGGGGTTCATGAGAGTGGTGGCTAGGAGCTCAAAGGCCTCCTTCTGGGCCTCAGCCTGATCTCGCCTTTGTGTTTGGGTCTCCTCGTCTCTATTATTAAAGACCTTAAAGGCCAGGTTAATGAAAAATAGACACAGGTCGACAAATCCCTCAAAAGGACTTCA